TTGAATGTCTTGCAAACTACATAGCTGAATGTCTATAGAAATTATCAATCATCCAGGTCATGGTTCTTTTTTAATTGGTCTTTCCAGTTGCCTCTTGAAAAACCATGAACTTGATGACTGAGAACCCTGAGAAGAGAGAGAGAGAGAGAGAGAGAGAGAGAGGGAGGGAGGGAGGGAGGGAGGGAGGGAGGGAGGGAGGGGGAGAGAGAGAGAATAAATTCAGTTAATTAATGGAATGGAAATGGAATAAATTTATTATGAAACAGATACAGGCAGGTGCAAGTTTAAACTAATTCTTCCATGTCAGTCATCTTTGGAAGAAGCTAAGCCCATTCATTGGGCTCATTTTGCATACCTACATGAAGTAAACTGCAGAACTGAAAAAATGAAGCCTTTCTGTTATTCAAGGGCCACATAATATGGTTTGCAAAACACTGGCTAAAAAATGTGCTGTCATACCTACTATTAGGTATCTAGGTAAGGAATACTTATGTCTTGAGGCCTTGCCATCTTTCCCTTTTTTCCAAAATAGTCTATTCTCAAAATAATTATTTTTGACCAATTATTTTTGGCTAGATGAAATGTGTCATGGAAACAAGGCTATTAGGAATAACAAATTTAATTTCCTTTGAATTGATTGCTTTCCTGATTCTTGCAGAGACTATCATGGAAATGTAATTTTAACAGGGGGTCACTCAGATCATTATGAGCCATTGTAATCAACAGGATAAGGCTTTGTAAAGATATCACTGATTTCATAGTATCATTTTTAGATAATTTTTTCCCATAGTATTTCCAACCCAACCTCTCAAAAGCTGCAATATTTTAATATTTAGGAAAGATGATAATATTTTCTGGATCAGCAAATGTTTTAAATTATGGTTATAGTTGTCATTTTGAAATAAAAGTAATATATCTATATTTATTTCTTGTAGCTGTGTAATTTTTTTTCCTTTTTGAGGGGGAATTCAGTTTGTTTATATTCAGTGACAGGATCCCACTTTCTTTCTCCATCTCTTTCAATTATATCTAGGTCTTAATCTTCTAGTCGATCTTATCTGTCTCTGTTCCCTTGGTTTGCCCCTTCATCTGTATATGTATTTTTAATTTCTTCTTCCTCTCTTGGTTTAGCTGCTCCTTCTATGGATGTCTCTTCCTGTTTTTTTGTTTCTCTCATTGTATCAGATTCAAAATCACCTCCTTCCATAAACACTTTGTGGTCATCATAGAATTGCATTGCTTTAAGTGGCATCCCAATCTATATCTTTTCGTGTCCCAATAAATTAAAATCCCTTCTGGGATCAGCCATCTGAAATTCACTCCTTTTTCAATTAATTTTCTAGCTAAAATTGATATTCTCTTTGGGATTCTTTTATTCTCCTAGGAATTTGTTTGAGAACTATGATTTCTTTTTCTTTGTATTTCAGAAGTTGATTTCTAACTCTTCTCAAAATCTCATCTCTTATGGATCTTTTAAGAAATCTAACGTGTATTTCTCTAGGAACTTTATTTCTTCTAGCATAGTTTGAATTGAATCAATAGATCTGATCCAATTCTCCTTCCATTTTCTGTTTCCCAATTCCTAATGCATCTGCCAATAATTCCGTTATCAGGTCTAGACGGTCCTCTTCCTTGTCTTCCATTATATTTTGGAATCTTAAGAAGTAAGAAGCCTTTTCTATTTCCATGAGGGCTATCAAGTCCTCTAATTCTCCATTTATTTGCATCAATTTCTGGTTTTCATCTTTTAACTTTTATAATTTCTGGTCAACCTCAGTTGATTTATCTTCTATTTTTTCAATTATTTGTTGATTTTTTTGAGACCATATGTTTAAAATTTTCGAATTGAGAGTCCATAATTATTATTTTTTTAATTCATTTTATCAAGATCACCTTTCATCTCCTCATGATTTCTTGTGTAGCTGCCATGTGAGTATCAATTGCCTCTTGGATTGCTTGTAGTGTTGCTTGTGTTTCCTTCTGGAAGTTGTTAGCCTTTTCTTGTTGGAGCATTGTATCAATTGATCTCTGATAAACTGGACTTGCAGAAGCAGAAGAGGGAGCAAAAGTTTTTTTTCCAGCTTTAGATAAATTTGGGACATTCATCTTTATCTTTTAGTCATACTTTGTAATCCACCAAGTAAATCAAAATTTGTAATCCAATAGCCTCCTAATAAATAGGAGAGGTAAATAATAATAATAACCCAAAACAACTGGAGCACCACTTGAACACAATTGGCATTGACAAATTCGTTATTAGTCAATTGCAAAAGGCAGCCTTATTAGGAACTGCTTCCATCCTGCGACGATATCTGTAATACCATCAAACATCCACATCTGCCTATCCCAGGTCCTGGGTAAGGACTCGATAGATAGACAAAATGCCAAATCCAGTCTGAACATCTGGCTGACTATGCGATGATCGATAATAATAATAATAATAATAATAATAATAATAATAATAATAATAATAATAGAACAAAAGGGACAAAAGGAAAAAGTATAGTGTCAAAATTGTAATCCAAAGTGTTCTGCTAGTAGAAGCTTCTTGTTATTCACTTGTCTCAAAACAGCTTGTAAAAATTCCAGGTCAAGCTGTATTTGTAACCAGAGAAGTCAGATGACTTCAAAACAACTTTTATTTTTAATTGTAATCCATCCTGTAAGGAAAGGCAACCCAAAAACATTCTTCTCTTTTCCAGCCACAATCTCCAGGACTATAGATTCCAAGGATATTACAGAGTTTAAACTGTAAGCTGTGTCTGGGTGTCTAGTCAAGTTCTGAGGCTCTACTCATAATAAGTGGATAAGGTTAAGGATAGAAGGCTAGATGTAATTCTTAGTTTTGCCACTAGGTGTCATTAGATGTCCATTCCAGCCAAACTTTAAAAAGTTTACAAAGTTATAATCCAATGGTTTCTAAACAAAAAATAGGGGGAAAATATAAATGTAAAAGTTTCCCAAGATATCCTTCTTCTGTCCCTCAATTATCTTTAAAATGTTATTATAAGTCACTTTAATTTCCCCTAAAGCTTAAACTGCTGCTTATAGTTTGGAGGGAGGAATAAAAGAAAAATCCCCCATCCGTATAGTATTTCTTACTTTTGGGAGCTTTTTCCAGAACTGGTATTTTCACTTTTAGAGAGGTAAGGAAAGCTGTCTCACCCAGATCAACTGTTTTGCTTTCCGCTTATTTTGTGTTCTTTGTCTCTGATGATCAGCAGCTTCTGGCTGGCAGTATGGCTGTGGCCAGCCTTTCTTCCTGCCGGTCCTGAGGGGTTTTTGGATCAATCTACAAAGCTTCGCCCTTTGGCCCATCACCTCTACCAGGCGACCCTTGGTCCTTTTGGACCCCCCAGAAGGTAGAAATCGGGTATGGGGAATGGATCCTTGTTCCCCTGCACCCGTGTCATTGGGATGCCACCCCATCTTTGCATTTCTTAATGAAAATTATCATTCCTTAGGAAATTTTATTTGATATAATTTTAGAAATGCAACAATTTGGACATTTATCTAAGGGAATTTAAACTGGAAGGTTTAAGAGTTGGTAAGACTATTACAAAGGTTGAGAATGGAAATTAGCATTTTTAAAAAATAATAATTTTTTAAATATTCTATTTTATGGTTTTGTTCTATGCATTTCAGAGTCACTTTTTATGAGATGCAAAGCCATATAAATCTGATGAATAAATGTATCATCAAATTTATTCTGTTTCCAGTACCACACACGAAACCACAGTATTCATCATTACCACCTCATTTTTTATCTTACCTCTCAAAAATCAAATGGCTGCATTTCACTACAATGAAGTTCCACTGGGATCAGAGCATCATAACATTTAGAATTTTAATTTTGTACTATATAACTAACTATATAATTAACTAACTGTATATAACTAACTGCATGTCAGTAAGCAAAAAAGTGCTATGTACAAACAATGTGAGAGATAATCATAATTCTGCTAGAGAAGAGTTGGAGAGATATTTATGAGAATGGATATTTGATAAGCTAACTATCATATTAATTAGAATATGTGGTAACTTTCTGAATTCTATCTATTTTGAGTCCTTCCTCATATCCTAATCAGTTGTTTGAGGAGGAAGAATAACAAGGGGATGATGTTATGTTATCTTTGCTAGCATGTCATCCTTAAACATAGAACTCTAAGATAGAACTGCATAAACTGTTTCCTCTTTTCACTATACATTATTCTGTCTTTTTTTCATGTTAAACTTGAAAGCAGAGAATTATTTTGGTTTTTATTATTGTGTGGTTATTTTGGAAAGTTTTCCAGATTGAACTTAATAAGTGAGGTAGACAGCATTCAAGCTTAATAAATAAATAATAATAATATATTAGATAACCCTGTGATCATTGCTTGAGTGAAACATAATGCAATTTGATGTGATCAGAGTAAACATTAAATTTTAGCGTGACCATGCTAGATTGTCCCATGATCATCTAAAAAGAGCATATATATAAACAGAAGAAGAGTAATAGTGGCAGGCAAACTTAAATAACATATAAACATATAAACAAAACAGCCATTGGTGAACAAAGAAAAATTGGGAGTGTTAGTGTCTTCCAATTTCCTGCTGAATTCCCAGCTGAATTTGCTTGAGAGAAGCTGGCAGGGAGCATCAGAAATCATGACCATGTGACCACAGTTACAACTTTATGAATTAAATTGTTCAAAACATAGTAGAAATTTCAATTCCACTGATGATCCTAAATATTTTATACATTCTTTAAATTAGCATATTTTAGGCACCTTGGTTCAAACATTACAGTAATCCACCATTTGGGATAAATTGAGGGCACAGGCAAACACTGAATTTTAATTTCTTTATATTGGGATACCAGAATAATATATAAAATAATTTAACAAATCTTCTAAATATATATTTAGAAGATATATATTTAGAATATATATATTCTAAATTTATGTTTTTTTTCTGTTTTATATATATATATAAACAGAAAAAAACATAAATTATGATCTTATCTGAGCTCCCTGGTAACTTATTCCAAATTTAAGGCACAAGATTAATACTTATAAATGATAATTACAGAATCTCCACTTACAGTACTATTTAAAAACAGTTAGTGCAAGGAGGGGTGATTTGCAGCGTCCTATTCTCCCCAAATAGTCTTATACAGAAGTCAATAGTTTTTCTACATTTTTTTCTTATTCAACCAGTATAACAACTTATCTACAGAACCCAAATCACAGGAAATATACTGCTGAATTAATAAAATGAAAGGGTTTTAATGATATAATGAGAATAATTTCTCTCTCTTTAAATGAAAATAAGAATTCAGTGAACTTGTATGCAGGTTGTATATTTGCTAATTGTCCTTCCCAGAGCTCCCCTCACCTCTTTGTTCCTCAGGCTATATATAAGGGGATTGAACAGTGGTGTTAAAATTGTGTAAAAGACAGAGAAGACTTTGTTCAATTCTCTCAGTTCATTACTGTCTTGCAAAAGATAGACAATTGTGAGACTGCCATAGAAGATAGTCACTACAATGAGGTGAGAAGAGCAGATAGAAAAGGCCTTTTGCCTCCCAATGATGGAAGGAATTCCAAGGATGGCAGCAATGATATAAGCATATGATATTATGGTTAAAAAGAATGGTGGTAGGGTAGAGATAGATGTTAGGATAGCTGACACAAGTTTGACCTGACTTGCATCACTGCAAGCTAGATTCATCATTGGAATGAAATCACAGAAGAAGTGTTCTATCAAATTGTGGCCACAGAAGCTTAACTTCAATATAAATGTTAACAATATTGTGTCTATCACAAAACTACCAGTCCAGGATCCAACCACTAATTGGAGACATATTTTGAAATTCATAAGTGTGGAATAATGCAGGGGTCTACATATTGCTAAGTAACGATCATAAGACATTGCAGCAAGGAGATAGCATTCTGTAACAGCTAAAAAAACAAAAGCCCATAACTGCAGAATGCAGCCATTCACAGATACAGTGTAGTTTTCATTCAGTAGGCTGACTAATATTCTGGGAAGAATGGTTGAGCTGTAGCAGGTCTCTAAGCAAGACAAGTTGCCTAGGAAAAAGTACATTGGGGTGTGGAGATGCTGGTCAGTCACAATTAGGGCTATAATGAGAAGATTCCCAGCCATAGTCATGATATAGATTATTAGAAACAGTATGAACAGAAGATTGTGTATCTCTTTCAGATCTCCAAAGCCATGAAGGATGAATTCCGTAATAATAGTCTCATTTCTCCATTCTATTTTCTTCATTATTACGGTACATTCTGTAATTCTAATAGGAAGGACAATATCAATCAACACTCATTTCTTTGTCCCTTTGTCTATGCATTTCACATCTACAAAGAAATCTGAACAATAAAAGCTCAATTAATGCTGAAAATCTTAAAACAAAAGTCAGATATTATTGCCCATCTAATCATCCCTAAATATTTTGATAATTATATTAACTTTTTCTCCTTAAATAACAATTATGCTATGAATCTTAAATAACATCTTAAATAACAATTTAAATAACATCTTAAATAACAATTTAAATAACATCTTAAATAACAATTATGCTATGACTGCTCACTATTATTAAGATAAATATTATTGTCTCTAATTGATGGCAGGGCTAATAAAACTTATACAGTTTATCTCAGGATATGTATTTTATTGTAGAATATGTAAAATGCTGCATGAGGAAATGGATACATTATTGCAAACATTGTATCCTCAGATTACTGATGTTTTATTTTTATTTATTAAATTTATATCCCATCCATTTCATTCCTCTTTTAGAAGATCCTTGCCTCTAAGAAAATGCTTATTGAATCTTAAAAGTATTCAGACTTATTAAGGGAGATTATTTATTCATAAAATAATAGAGTGAGGTAAATAAATAAAAGACAGTAAAGATAAAGGAAGCTACTAAGTCCTTAGAACAGCTCAGTAAGAAATCATCCATTCTTCCTTTTAATAATTGTACTGATTGCAAAATGTAGAAAAAGAATACCACAGGGCTACATAAACAGGAACAGGAATAGCAAACTTGGCCTCTTTTGTATGTAGCTATTATAATGAATCAGCCTTTATGCAAAAACAGTAGAAATAATAAATAAAATTATATGATTTAGCTGAGATTGCCCATTGTTTTCCAAAGGTTGGTGATTTAATCTTATGGAGTAAAGGCAAGACTCATTCAACTCAATCTGTCTCTTGTGATCATATATTGTGCTTGTGCTTTGTATCTAAGTGGGGCAATTGTTCCTTTCTCATTTTAGATGCAGAGTACTCATCTTTTTTGACATTTTCATCAATGACTCTGACAAAGAAAAATATTCTTCACATCCTGAATAATCTTGTATCCAACATAGGCAGGTAATTCTTACCAGAAATCCAAAAGAGTGGAAAACTGAAAAAATTTGAAGTCCATTTTCAATTACTCTTCAATTTGACTCTTCAGTTATGTTCCTTAAACACAAACTTGTTGAATCTTATCTGTTATCCTTAAGGATCCATAATGTTGAAAATGAACATCTGTTTGGTTTAAGCCCGGAGCTTCTTATTTAAGTATAATGACTGAAGAATATTTTAAGAGCACTTATATTTAATTGACCACAGGGGAAATGTTGAAGTTTTTAAAAATAGTATCATAAACATCTGATACAGTATTCTGTTTCCAGAAATTTGTTTTGGACTAAGGTAATACAATATAAACTTGGCTGCACAGATTGATGGGGAATATACTTACACAGGAAGAAATTAAGCTGACAGATACTTCCATCCCTGGTCATAACTTGAGTGGAATTAATTATGAATAATTCAATATGTCCCCATCCCACGTTTACATGTAGTTTTCCACACCATTAGTTGATGCTTAGGATCTTTTCAGTTGAGGACTACAACTGTAATAGTCCTGCATTATCTCCAGTTTATGGAATGATTTGAAAACACAGCACAAATATTAATAAGATGAAGGTATATACAAAATACATATGTTCTTTAATGTTCTGAAAGCTTTCATTATGTTTATTCCATTATATGTTTTGCTTCATTTTTCACTATTTAACAGCTACCAGCTTTTAGCCACTCAATCTTCAGAATTGTTCTCCTTAGTTTCAATTTATGGAGAAAATCTATTCATCTGATTACTCAGGGCTGAAACTGATTTTATGACACTTAAAAAATAAATTTAGTCAAGTCAATTGACAAATTTCTGATATTTTTGAACCTCAGTAAAAATTTTGCCTAGAAACTGCTTGAGGCAAGTTCACTAATGCAATAATAAAATCCTATGACATTAAATGGAGAGAGTTATCTGCAACACTGTTAAAATGTAGTGAGTTTGTTCTTTGATATTGAGGGGGCATTGTTTGCTGGCAGTGCCCAAAATTTAATGAGTGATGCCATGTTGTCTAACTTCTCCAGATTAATCTCCAGAATTCAGTGCACACAAGTATTAATTTTACAAGTGGGAAACTTCCTGCATTGGCATAATTATTATATTGCCATACAGATATTTAATAAATAATAATCATGATGCTTTGTTGACATAATATAGATCGATGTCCATCTTCTGGATTTGCAAGCTCCCACTCTGAAAACCAGACAACTCCACTGAGCAAGTTCAACCTGTACTCAAAATGATTTGTGTGCATGTATGTGTGAATAGATAGTCCCTCAACATACAACCTTTTGTTCAATGATCATTTGAACTTGCAATGGCACTGAAAAAAAAGTGATTTATCTAAGGGCACAGATACATTCCCAAGTGGTCTCAAGAGTTCTTATGGAGAGTACTAATGAAATAGATCCTTCCAACTGCACCCCCCATCCTATGAGAACTAATCCTACCATTACCCCCACAATCCTGCCAGAACCAATGAAGCTTCTTGGATAAGAAGCAAAATGTCTTCCTCTTCTTCCTGAGGGAAAGAATAGTCCAGTTACCTTTTGAAAAAGCACTTTTGAGACAACTATGATCTAGATGATTAAGAATCTTATCAGGTAAACAGAACAGAAGTTAAGACACTAGAATAATAAAAGAACAAAAATAAAAAGAACACAACAACACTACAACAATATGATTACCCAAAAAGAAAGATGAAAAAGTAGAGAGCAGAGAACAAGGAAGGGGAGACTGCATCAACCCAGTAGCCACCTCTAGCATGACTCTTCCATTTGGACTTCAGACCAACTGGCAGAACCAGGTCTTTAGACTCTTGTGGAAGGATCGGAGGGTGGGAGAAGATCTTACTTTAGAGGTGAGATGTTCCAAAGGGAGAAACTGCAACAGAAAATGCTCTTCTTCTGGATCCTGACAGACAGAGTTCTTTGACTGGTGGGATCTACTCATGCTGGCAGAGAGTAGACCTTCTCTGCCAGCATGAGTAAGACAGGCTTGTCCTAGTAGAATGAGACAGTTCATCAAGTAGCTTCAACCTATGCCATTAAGGGCTTTGAAATGATAATTAAAAACTTGAATTGCACCCAGAAATAGACATAGCTAGTGAAGTTCTTGGAGCAGAGGTATAATATGGGCCATCCTAGTGATCCCAAAGATTGGTCTCACTGTCATACTTTTCATCAGCTGAAGCATCCAAAAGAATTTCAAGGGTAGTTTCAAAATACTATATTACAAAAATGAATATAATACTTTTTTATTTTTAAAAATAAAAGATCAACTCTCCATCTGTCTGACTAGGAAAGGATAATTCCTTTAACTGAATAATAAAGAAAGCATTCTGCTATACCTATGAAGATTTATGTCCATATCTATTAGTAATTCTTATATTAACCTGACAAAAGAAACAAAAATACACAAGTCTCCAAAAAGAGAAATCCATTTCCAGTATCAGTAGAATTCATCTCAAGGATATTCCTTTTTCATGAAGGAAAAACTTGTGAAAGAAAGAGAGAGGGGGGGGAGGGAGGGAGGGGGGGAGGAAGAAGAAAGATTTCAAGCCAATAAAGAAGAAGTGGGAGGTAAATTTGTAATGGCAATGGAGAATATAACGAATGATTATTAAAGTTTTAAGGTGTGTCCACTATGTGCTTGCATGCACAAGGAGCACTCCCCTTTGAAAAGAAATACAAATAAATTACCATTGTTTTCTCTTGGAAGTTTTGGCTTGTGATTTTTATTTCAACTAGACAATGAATCCCATAACATCTTTACCAAGTTAAGAATATACAGCTCATTTATGAAATTCTGTCAGTTGCCCTAACCCTAACCCTTACCCTAACCTAGTCTGTCATGCAAAAATAATCATTATTTGAGAAATTCCAGGCTATCCAGACAGTCCAACATGTGTTTATTTAGCATGTTTCCCCGAAAATAAGACCTAGTCTTATTTTTATTATTATTATTTGCCTCTAAAAGAGACACCAAGTCTTATTTTCGGGGAGTGTCTTTTCCACTCACCTAGTATACTAACAGCCCTGCCCAGCCAGACCACTTCTTCTGCAGCTCAAGGAAATGCCTCTGCAGCTGAGAATGGAGCTCTGGCCTACATTTTGCTGTCAGAGGCCTTTCCGGAAGACCTCTCCAGCCAAGAACCGAGCTATGGATTCAATCTGTAGCTTGATTCCCAGATGCAGAGGCCTTCTGGAAAGGCCATTAACAGCAAAATGCAGGCCGGGGGATGCCACAGAAGAAGTGGGCCACCAAGGAGAGGCAGGTTGCAATGGTAAGTGGGTATGGGGCATGTGGGACAGCTCCACCCCCCACCCCTGCCCTAGCTTGATTTTTAGGCATGCGCCTCACCCCAAAACTAGGACTTATTTTTGGGGTAGGGCTTATATTAGGCCCACCCCCAATAATCAAGCTAGGGCTTATTTTTAGGATAGACTTTACATATGTATAGGAACATTTGTAACATCATATCTTACCCCTGCTTGAACAGTAGCATGGAAGAATATACAATTTTTGCATGTTATTTTGTTCAGATTTCAAACTCTTTGTTTTTATTTTTTTTTAATTTTTTTTAAATAAATCTTTGGAAAAAAGATAAATCTGAGCCAAAGTGATTAAATTTAGAAATACTGATTTATCAATACTATCAAATGTTTAGTGACTTACTAATTCAAGAAAACAAGCAACAGTTTGCTTTCAATACATCAGTACAGTGTGATTACAGCTGAAGAAGGGAAAAAATTCTTCCTTATCCCCTTTTCCTTTTCTTTTGTTGTTAAAACTCATCTAATCTGATTGAGCAGAACACGGCAACAACTACAAAATTCAGCATTCCTTGAAACTGCAGATTCCTCCTGTGACTAGTGAAAATGCAACTTCTTGAAAAAAATAGTTTAAAATCTGGCATTTTTAACTTGATGAAGAGAATCCAATTTTTAGTGAAGATCTTCGGGGCTTAAATTGTATATAAGTTGTGTATAAATTGGGTTTTGGCAAGTCATCAGCTCTACATAGCAAAGCAATTCATATAAAAAAACCTCCAATCCTTGCTGCCATTCTGTTTGTGAAAGAAGTTTTACTTAGACAATAAGGCATTTGATTGTTCATTGATTTGTTCCATATGTTGTTCAGTACAACCCATTTCCTCTTTCAAACTTAAAAAAATGTGTTTGTCCTCTTTTCAATACTACACTTTCTTTAGCAGTTTAAATTTCACCACTTAGGTCTTTGTCTAAGTCAATCAGATGTTGGGAATAAACTGTAGAGCATGGCAAAATATTGTAATACATCATCTTTAAAAAAAAATTGGCTTCATTTTATGAATGATGCACTGCTCCTATTAGCTTCCTTGGATATTTTTATTTGCACTAGACTGGGATCTTTATGTCCTCAACCTTATTATTTTTTCTTTGAATCTTGAACTAATTTATTTTTAGCTCAGCTACAGAATGCATAGAATAATCAAGAAGACAGTGTTCTAATAGTCCTGCCAGGTCATCTGAATGATTAGTTTCTCATGATGAGAATTCTTGCTTCTCTCTCCCCCCCTTCCCCACATGCTTTCTCTGTTCCTGTTAAGTCTCTATGGTGGTGCCTTGGTATAATTTCACTAAATGAGGAATGGGATGACAATTTTATAGTTTCCTTTCACTGAGTCCAGTTGCCATGAAAACAAATTCTGAATGAGTAAAGACAAAAAAAAATGGAATGTGAGGAAGCACTAGCTGGATGCCCATTTTTGCATTTCCATATTTGTTGGTTTGAGTGTGGATAATTCATCCCATGATCTTTTTGTTTTGAAAGCAATGACAGAAAGAACAATTGGAAATTGTTTTTTTCTGAAAATTGTTCAAACTGGTGCCTGCAGGTTTACGGAATGGAAATTATAGTTATGAAGAAGTCACATTTATTTTTCCCTGTTATCTGAATTCAGACAATTGGATGCTGTTTATATCCGTGCATGTATGTATGTGTGTATGTATATAAATATGGAAGTACCTTGGGTTGAAAAAAGACACACTGTTGTGCAGTTTATCTGTGTACATGGAAGCACAGAATCTACCACAATAGGGACACTGGAAGTAGACTTCTATGTCGGTTGCATTTAAAATGTACAACTTAACAGATTTATATTTTATGGGGAGCTTGGCTAGACAAAAAAGTCTCTATATCACAGATATTTATCATGAATATATGGAGTTTAATGAGAAAGTTGACAGAGGTGGATGACCATCCTGTTTCCTTTTCTTATCTATACCATATCGATTTTAAATTGGATTAACATATTAAGCTAAATATAATCTCTTTGCTTCCACTTTATTTTCCATTTAAATCCATTCCTTGTTTTGATAAGCTTTGTAGCAGAGAATAATTGTAGCATCCAATAAAACTTTACTCCGCAAGTCATGGTCAAACAAACTATGGTTAAGAATCATGTTAATAAAATACTCTATAGGGGAACATAAGCTTATACTGTACCTTTAAGAAATGTAATCAAATATAGCTTTGTCTTTGTTTTTCTGCCACTCTTACTCTGCAACAAATTTCTTGCTCACACACATCTTACAGATTAATATGAACATAATTATTATTGTAAGAGAAATTAGGTGCATACTTCTTTAAACAATATTCAACCATTATTCATGAGAATTGTAAATACACAAAAAGGAAAAGAATTATGGTGCTGAATATATTGTAATTTCATAAACAAATGAATTA